AAAAATGTAGTTGTAGTGAACTTTGTAGGTGTCCTAATACACCCTAAATCATAAGGTGGCGACTCTTCAAAAAATGCAAAACCCAGTTCCCAAAAGGAACGAGTTGCCCCATACCCTAAAATGTCATAAACCCGATTCTCCTGCCGCGAAGAGGGAAAAAAGGGGACGCGAAAGCAGGGCGACTCTGCTGGGGACTTTTAGGCTTTTACCATTTCAGATTATTGTTGTGAATTTGTACCTCTCTCTGTGTGCAATTATCTGTTTGATTTCTTTCAGCATTTAATTTCTTCTTTAAAAGGCAAAACTGACATATCTTCCTTTGTTTCTTTCCTTTATTGGTTTAAATTATGAACTGTTGTATCGCTTTCTTAATGTGCAAATACATGCCAGCATGCTTTTAATTATTGCATAATCATGCTCAACATCATATTCCACTCGTGCCAAACAAATACTATAGCAACGCTTATAATGAGTGGTTGCGCTCTTCCTATATCGTTACCCCCTAAATTCGGAAAGGCATATTTGCGGTAAAACCAGTCGATCAACGGTGTAGTCGATGGTTCCGTGCCTTTCCCTCTTGAGTTGTCCGCTCAAGGGTACCAGTCTAAAACCCCATAGAAACCTTACTCCGTTTAAATTGTGCATGCATCATGGTCAAACCTAGCCGGATCAGTTATGTTGTCCACATAATGATCCTTTAAGATAGCCCTGTCCAAAGTCCACTGTTTTTCCCTAAACCCAAACGGACACCATCACGTTCTGCATTTAATTGGAGAACTAAATGTCTAATGATGATTGTTGATATTAAATAGTCGAGTCTGGTGGGGGTAAGGTCTAACCTTTCTGATTTGCAGATAATAAGGCACGAAATCCCCAGATTCGGCATGGTTACCAACATCCACCCAAGACTGCTAAGCTGGTGGAAAGATCTTCACTCTAGTGATCAGACTCTCGTCCGAAAATATCTAGGAAATCTACCTTCCCTCCTGGAAATTCAACCTAACAACAAGATCATAGAAGCTGCCACACTGTTTTGGGATTGTGAAAGGGCTATGTTCCGCTTTGAGGACATTGAAATGACACCCTTGCTAGAGGAAATAGGAGGATTGGCCGGTTTGGTGTAGGAAACTCCGGGTTTGCTGATGCCTGAGAACCGCAAAGGTAGGGGATTTCTTAAAATGATGGGTTTGAAGAAGAATCCAAAATTAACATGCTTGAAGGATTCATACATTCCTTTTGATTACTTGTATGAAAGATACGGTCACAGCAAATCTTACCGTACCTACTCTGGAAAATTTGCCCTCACATCTTTGGGACACATCCACCGCAGAGATTTCGTCTTCATGTTCTGTTTCCTGGGACTGGTCGTGTTTCCGATGAAGAAAGCAAGGATCCACACCAGGCTAGCTATGGTAACCAAAACCCTAATGGAAGGGATTGATGGGCAGGCATTCAGCATCGTACCCATGATTGTTGCAGACATATACCGAGCTTTGGAGAAGTGTCAGCAAGGAGCAAAACACTTTGAAGGTTGCAATCTATTACTCCAACTCTGGCTCATGGAACATCTCCAGAGAGGCGAATATCGACAAGAGATCCGGCGTAGGGACTGGGATGATCACATCGCTTTCCATCACCCAAAGCGAATGAATTACATCCCCGATATGTTTGCTCAGCCGGAGGATGCTAAAGGATGGGTCGAACTGTTTGATAATTTGACCGAGGAGCAAATTCAGTGGATGTTCGAATGGTTTCCAACGGAGGA